TTCAAGAGACAGTATATTTTGTCTGTCACAGAAGCTCAGCCAGTGAAATTTTTCAGCAACTGTCCACTTCCCCACGAAGTGGAGGAACTGATAAGAGTGCCGCTAACATGAGCTAAAGGAGGAACAATCTATATCTACAGTTTCATTCTGTGACTCAGTAGTCAGTAGTATTTGGAGGAGTGTGGCACACATGTATTTTAGTTTAGTTGTCATATATCGGTGCAAAAATAAAGATTTACAATTGTAAGGTCAGTTATGGAAATATAAACACATATGCAGTATAATGTGATCCTTTATTGACTACGTTTCGCCCACACAGTGGGCTTTTTCAAGTCACAAACAGAACTACCTGGGGTGGAAGGAACGCGAGTATTTATAGTCAGGTTCAGAATGCTGAGGTCAGGTGGAGAATGCTGCATCTGATGATGTACCGAGTGGGGTTATAGAGTCTAAAATCTTGGGTAGCTTGGAAAGGAGATTGGATAAGTTTGTGAGCAGACCTTCTACAGTGTTCTTATGTGGGATAGCGATGAAGAAGTTTCTTGGCAAGTGGTTCAGCTATGTTATAGAAGCCATTATTCTGGTTGAAGTTGTCGGATATAGAAATAAGTGATGATTCCAGGATTCTTCGGTATTGAGTGTTGTCTTCTGTGGCGATAAGTCTTGAGTTTCTGTAGTTTATCAAGTGGTTGTGTGAATTACGGTGTTGTACGCAGGCATTCCTTGTGTCGTCAGACCTGCTTGCGTATTGGTGTTCTGAAATACGTGTTTGGAGGTCCCTTGATGTTTCGCCCACGTATAACTTGTTGCAGTCATTACAAGGGATTATGTATACCCCTGCAGAGGGTGGAAGCTTGTCCTGTCTATCACTGGTAATGTCCTTGATGGTCGTGGTTGTAGAGGTAGATACTTGAAATGAGGTATTGGAAAAGATGTTGGAAACGTGTTTGGCAATGGAGTTGGTGGGAAGGACTATGTATCTCTTCTCGGCAGTGTCTTCTCTGGGTGTGTTGAAGATGTTTAATGCCCGTCGTCTGCAGTCTCTGATGAAGTGACGAGGATAGTGGAGTTTAGAAAATACTTGTTCAATCATCGTGCATTCTTCAAGAAACTCATTGCTGCAGATTCTGAGTGCACGCAGGAAGAAGCCTATAATTACACCACGTTTGGTTTTGGTGTCGTGGTGAGAGTAAAAGTGGAGAAGATCGTTTTGGTTGGTGGGTTTTCGATAGACTTTAAAACGAAGTTCGTGGTCAGCTTTGCAAAGCAGAACATCAAGGAAAGGAAGAGTGTTGTCGACTTCTTCTTCAAATGTGAACTGGATTGAAGGCTCGACCTGGTTGAGCTTGTCTTGGAGAGCTTTAACATTGAAGCGTTTAGGAGTTATGAGGAGAATGTCGTCAACATAACGGAGCCAGGTGACAGACGAAGGAATAATGGTGGAGAAACGTTCGGCTTCTAGATGTTCCATGTACCAACTCCATTGCCAAACACGTTTCCAACATCTTTTCCAATACCTCATTTCAAGTATCTACCTCCACAACCACGACCATCAAGGACATTGCCAGTGATAGACAGGACAAGCTTCCACCCTCTGCAGGGGTATACATAATCCCTTGTAATGACTGCAACAAGTTATACGTGGGCGAAACATCAAGGGACCTCCAAACACGTATTTCAGAACACCAATACGCAAGCAGGTCTGACGACACAAGGAATGCCTGCGTACAACACCGTAATTCACACAACCACTTGATAAACTACAGAAACTCAAGACTTATCGCCACAGAAGACAACACTCAATACCGAAGAATCCTGGAATCATCACTTATTTCTATATCCGACAACTTCAACCAGAATAATGGCTTCTATAACATAGCTGAACCACTTGCCAAGAAACTTCTTCATCGCTATCCCACATAAGAACACTGTAGAAGGTCTGCTCACAAACTTATCCAATCTCCTTTCCAAGCTACCCAAGATTTTAGACTCTATAACCCCACTCGGTACATCATCAGATGCAGCATTCTCCACCTGACCTCAGCATTCTGAACCTGACTATAAATACTCGCGTTCCTTCCACCCCAGGTAGTTCTGTTTGTGACTTGAAAAAGCCCACTGTGTGGGCGAAACGTAGTCAATAAAGGATCACATTATACTGCATATGTGTTTATATTTCCATTGTGTCGGTATTTTATACCATTTATTTCCAAGGTCAGTTATGTCTACGTGTCAACGGTATATAAACCAAGAGGCGTGTATCTTTTGCTCTATATACATCCAGTTACTTATCTGCGTATATACACAAAGAGGTGTTTGTGTATATACACAGTGCTTGTTTTCATCCCTATTTTAGGGATTGAAGTATTCTTGACTGGTGGTGGACAGGTAACATTCAGCCTTAATAATCCTCATGCAGTCGACAGGCATTAAGCCCAATAAAGGAAGTAGCCTCAGAGTGCATTATTATTATTATAATCAAAAAGAAGCGCTAAGCCACAAGGACTATACAGCGGCCTCAGAGTGCAGTTCTGACATTACTAACATCAACAGCGAAGGCTATGTATAAATCAAATTCCAAGGTCTACGGTTAACGGTAATTATTATTATTATTATTATTATTATTATTATTATTATTATTAAAATAAAGTTAACGGTAATAGTGTACCAACGCTGCCACCGAAAGAAAACATTATTGGACACTTTAATCCTGTTAAAGATATAAAATATTGTTCTAATGAGTAAACTTGCTATATTTATTAGATTTTCGGCTATTTTTTTTTTTACCTTTTGACCTGTGTATGGGTACCGGCAATAATAAAAAGTGTACTTACACTTTATATTTATTTGTATGCATGGATATATATGTATATATACATTTTAGGATCCAGTGGAGGCTGATCCCTGGGAGGGGGTGAGAGTGGGAAAACGAGAGTATCCTACTCCTTGCATCCAGATCCCGCATCTTACCATGGTCAGCGGGGGGACTGAGATGATTGGCCACGAGGACTGTCTTTACCTCAATGTTTTCTCTAGTAAGGTGAGTACCTTTATTGAATAATGCCTTTCCTAAAAAAATAATGTCAGGTTCTCTCTTGATTAATTAGGTCAGTTTTCTTGCTAATAGAGTATTTATTTTTACTCATAAGAGGGTGTTATTGAATTAGACACATATGCAACTCTTGGTATCTTTATTGAGGAAACGTTTCGCCACACAGTGGCTTCATCAGTCCATATAAATGAGAAACTTGAAGAACAGGAGGCTATTTCATAAGAGGCTATTTCATGGGATGGAGAGATGTTTACAGTTCCTGGTAATTCACTTATCCTCACGTATCTCATAGAAATCACAGATATTGTTGACAGTATCAATGTTGGCTTTAAGTATTATGTACAAATTTCATTAATAAGCATATAAGTGTATTTCAGTAGACTAAGGTTGAGGTGAACGTTAAGTAGTAACGTTCAGGACGTGTCAGCCACCAGTATTACTAATGAAGTGTACCATCCAGCGAGTCCTGTGGAATTTTTTTTACATAATTTCCTAAATGTAGAACATATAAATGAATAATATAATAATTGCGTATTAAAATGTAATGCTATTTGGACCCTTCGAAAAATTTCGAGGAAGTGACGCCGCAGAGGAGAGACGCCATATTGAATTTAATGCGTGAACATTGGACTGAATCGTGCAATGTAATCAGGCGTTCTCTAAGGTCAATTGTTTTTTTTCGGCCTGAATTTATGATAGGGACCCGTGTTAATGTCCCCTGCTGAAGAATTGGGATAATACTATGGAAAACCCTTACAATTCGGCAATCAGGACGGAAAAATAGAGGACACCAATTCTCCCAGCAGCACACCTCAGCTAAGTGACTTTTACCCATAACGTACAGTACTTTTTTTGCGTTGGCTATCGTAAATTCTAGCTGCTAGTGTAAGGTTAGGGTGTGTTACATCAGCATTGTCTTCCAGTAATTAAATGGTAAGTGTTAATACTTAACACTTGCCATTTAAGCCTAACACTTACCATTTATCCTGCTGTATAGCCCTTGTGGCTTAGCGCTTCTTTTTGATTATAATAATAATAATAATATCATTTAGCCTAATCATATACAGTCCACACTATTTTATAATTTACCCTTATTGGTATTAATGATTATAACTTTAATTATTAAGTTAATGTCAGGTTTAGCTTTTTGTGAGATTGGAAGGGAGTGGTCATCGATGGAGTTACAGGTAGGCAATCTGCTGTGACTTAAGTCCCACTTACCTCACCCAAATTACTTGCAGGTAATAATTCAGGTAATGCCCTGTAAGCCTCCTGCAGGTAGGTTAACGCTCTCGCTTCACACGGCGAGGGCTTGGGTTCGATTCCCAGCCAGAGTAGAAACATTGGACGTGTTTCTTTCCACCTGTTGTCTATGTTCCCCATCAGTAAAATGGGTACCTGGGTGTTAGTCGACTGGTGTGGGTCGCATCCTGGGACACTGACCTAAGGAGGCCTGGTCACAGACCGGGCCGCGGGGGCGTTGACCCCCGGAACTCTCTCCAGGTAAACTCCAGGTATTAATTATCTCCAAATTAAGTTAAATATATTTCCATGTCAGTGTAAAGACTATAGCTTAATATAATATGATATTAATTATTAAGTTATCTTAAGATTTATTAAATATAATAGAACTCCAAGGACAAATATTGGATCCGCTCCTGAGAATAAAAGTTTCTATTCACTTGAATTAGTCTAAGTACTATGGTTGGCAGTATTAGGATAGGGTATAGTAACAGATGTTCCGGTCTTTACATGTAACGTATTTTGAAAAGTTTTGCTGCTGGAGGCCCGGCCTGGGACCAAACCACAAAAATAAACAGCTCCAAACAAGGTTCTTAGAAAAAAGGAAGACCCTCGTTTATGTTATATTTAAAAAATGAACCCCCCCCCCCCATACACACATCTTTTCTGTTTTTAAGTAAGGAAGGTGTTTTCAAGGATTGCCGGGGGTGTTGAAATGTAGAAATGAGTTTTGTAAAAGCGGGAATAATACAAAGGCATTTGGGTGTGAATTAAGACAATTGACGAAGCGAGTTGTAGGGATGTGGGTGTGCTGTAAGAAGGAATGATTTTTAGAAATGAGAGTGAGTTGCGGGGATCTAGGAGTGAGCTGTATGACTGTCGCAGTGTTGACGTGAGTTGTGAAGGATGTATGTTTGATTTATAGTGGTGAGTGAAAATTACATGTAGGGTGTTAGTTGGGCGTGGTAGTGATGTATGACTATCCCTCCGACCTTCACCCTCGTCTCTTAACAGCCGAACCAGACAGAGGCAGGATTGCCAGTACTCGTGTACATCCATGGTGGAGCCTACTTCGGTGACAGCAGTAGTCGGTACCCTCCTCACGTCCTGCTTAACGAAGACATCGTTCTGGCCACAATGCAGTACAGACTTGGCATTTTTGGTGAGTCCTAACCACCTGGCATTGTGTACTTTATGTATACGTATGCCCACAAGATCTGTAAGGCCTGAAAACCTAGCATTTTGTACTAGTGGTTACTCGAAAATTCCTGAAATAAAACCCCGAATGGAAATATACCATTATGTTTGACAATGTTACATAATGTACTATGTATGTGTCCATAACATGTGTGTGCCCTCAAAACCATTGTAAAAGTTTAAAACTTCAGTTTGTAAAACCATATGTAGATTATTTTAAATAAAAGTCACTTATTTACTTATTTGGCAGTAGCATTCTTGACTTTATAAATAAAGTTAAATAAGAGAAGAACTTTTATAGCTTGATTTATAGAGAAAGCATTTCACATTAACTCATAATTTCGAGAAGAAATTTTAGATAACATTTCTCTCTGTTGTGAACCATTATAATTGTTGGCTTGATTTATAATGATCTAAAGTTTTATCTCTGTATTATGAGTTAATAGTTAAGTGTTCCAGCTATGGTATTGACAAAATGCTGTGCATCCTATAGGCTTTACACTTTTGACGATTTTTATATCCTAATGTGTTTTCCTCTAAGATCATCTCTGTGACTTTTTCGTTTCTTTTCAGGCTTCCTCTCCACCGAGGACGAGGTGATGCCTGGGAACCAGGGGCTGAAGGACCAGGCACTGGCCCTCCGCTGGGTCAAGACCAACGTGCGTCAGTTTGGAGGTGACCCTGAGAAGATCACTATCTTCGGGGAAAGTGCTGGAGGTGGATGTGTCCACTTTCAAGTACTCTCTCCCAAGACTGACGGTGAGTTAATGCGTAGCTTTATAATGCACTCCATACCCAGCCTGGGGGCAGCCAATGGATTACAGAGGGTGGTGCAAGAGACAAATGCAATATAAGGTGATCCTTTATTCTTTATTGCAGTGAGCTTTACGAAGTCACAAACAGATGAACCTGGAGAGGGAGGTCGAGTATATATAGGTGTGTGCAGTGAGGCAGAAAGTCAAATTAGGTACGAGACAAGTAGTAGGTGTGGAATCTGCCTAGCTTGGGTCAGCATTTCTATTACCGAGTTCCTCTGAGTTGCTAAATGGGAAGTCCCTCCAGAAGCATCCTGACGAGAGCCTTAGCTACATTGCAGTCATTTCAGGTTAAAAATTTTAGATATGGTAGTGAGTGCTTATTCTAAGATTCTCTTCCTTAACAATGAGTGGTGCGCCCTTGTAATTAATCAAAGTGGTTGGAGGAGTTTCGGTGTAAAACGCAGACGTTATCCATTCCGTCATCTCTGATAGTGCACTGTCGTCCAGACATCGATTTGTGGAGATCTCTGGATGTTTCCGCTACGTATATATTGTCGCAGTTGTATACCCCTGCTGTGGTTTGGACTAGTGGACACAGACACCCAAATAGTTTGTGACATAAAGACGACAAACGACTACACAGAAGGACTGAAGTTTAGATACAATTCCATATAGTTTTGCAATAGATGTTAAGACTAACCAATACATAATACTATCAAATTCATTCTGTTATCAAAAGCATCTGGTCAGAGATCTCTCCATCCTCCCACAGGACTGTTCGCTCGAGCAATCATTCAGTCTGGTTCGGCTATATGTCCACGGTCACTAGGAGATGCTCACAGGGATGTTGCTTACCACACTGCTGCTGTGGTAGGATGTCATCAGTGGGATTCCTACGAGTTGTTGCAGTGTCTGCAGGAGGCCAGGGCGGAGGAGCTGGTCTTGATTCTGCCCAAGTACATTGTGAGTAAACTATTCTTTGTAACCAGCCTATACTTTGTGAGTGTGGGATATTTTGGATCTAAAAAATACTTTGTGAGTAAACAATATGAGTAAACTTTTTGTGAGAATACTAAACTTTGTTAATATACTATGCTTTGAGAGTAAACAGTACTTTGTAAGAGTTTGCTTAGTACGCGCTGAACTTTTTTTCAGCAGTTGGGTTTTCCGGCGCTTTCATTCAAGTCACAGCTTTCAGTGATGGTTAGACTAGCTCCCTCCATACATATGCTGAGGTTTAAAATGTGGTTACTCTGTGCCATGTTTTTTTTTTGTATATAGGCACTTGAGCTTTGGAACGAAAGTTATATGAATAGAAACTGAAATTTGCAAGTTAGATTTTGAGAAGCCATTGTCAGAAAACTCGAAGTGACCTGATCCGAGAGAGATAACCCCCCCCCTCCTACATGTCATAATCCTAACGCCTAGTACCACAACCTATACAAGAGACTTATCCTTCTAAAGACATATTCATCTATTTTTTTTCATCTTGACATCCTAATTCTTTACTGCAGTATTTCAATAGGATAAATTTGATATCACACAATTGTTTTAGAACAAAAGAATGAATGAAGAATGAAAACTATACGATGAGGCATTCCCAGTTTGCTAAATACAGTTGTCAAATTGGCATCTACAAAACCCAAAACCAATTTGAACTTTCTATTAGAGAGGAGATTTAGGGGTAAGAATTCAAAGCAGATAAGAAGCATTTTCCAGTTATCACACAGAAATTAATATTGCAATTTGTTTCAGGAAACTGGCAAATTACCACTTACACACCTAATAACAATGCAAACCTTTGAGCGAAACACGCCGGTACTGAAAGTTTGAAGCCAGTCATAATGGGAATTCCTGTTAATTATAAATGAGACACTTATTCTGGAAACGTTTCGCCACACAGTGGCTTCTTCAGTCCAATGCAGAAAAAGGTGGAAAATGAGGAGTTTGAAGTAATCAGTCCCTCAGCCCTAAGTCGATGTGTTCAGTCCAGTCTTGACAAAAGTGCAGCATATTCGCGGTGATGGGGCCTATATTCTGATGAGAGACATGATGAAGCAGTGGTAGGCGGAGTCACCGACGAACAAAGCCACTAGTGAAAGTGGTTCAAACTCCTCATTTTCCACCTTTCTCTGCATGGGACTGAAGAAACCAATGTGTAGTAAAACCTAAATGTTGCAAAAGTGTCTCATTTACCAACGTTCCGGTTTTGTAAACCGTTTATTCACATTCCTGTTAATACATGAGAACCAATATGTCTCACTTTTTTAACATATTTTTTTTTTATTTTTTTTTTTTTGCCTTCGTAGCTTGAAACTGTATTGAATTATCCTCGAAACATCAAGTTCATAAGTTTGAAAAGGGTATTTTAAAATAAAATAACTTTGCACCTACACAGTCGAGTAACAATCTGAAAAATTTACAAGATATATCAGTATTAAAAGTTTGAAACAAATTAGTAACTTCGAAAACCACTTTAGGTATCCCTTTCTGATGAATACCTAACATTATTCCTTACAGTAGAGGTATTTCATGTGAATACAGAATTCCATTAGAATTTTACCTAATGTGTTGCTTTATATATTTTGAGGTTACGGATAAATTGTGAGTCATTCTCCAGTCACATTATAATCTATCTTAACCATATAAATAGTTTAAATACTGAACGTTCTTATAGATTCCTCATCCTATCTGCTGCTCTTTATACTCTTCCTCTACCCCTCTTAATCACTCTTACCTTCCCCATTTTACTTCCTCATCTTCCCCCATCTCACCTTGGTTGTATCAATAGCCTCACTATCTACATGACACTTCTCTTCTCTTACCGTGTGGCGTCCTGCAGAAGTGGCGTTACCTCCCGATATTGTTGGGGCCGCGAGTGGACGGGGATTTCCTTCCTGACGATCCAGAGGTGTTGGCAAGAGATGGTCGTCACAAGAAAGTGGACATCATATCTGGCATCACGTCTCATGATGGAGGTGCTTTTGTTACTGGTATGTCTCTTCTGTTTGACACTTCTTTAAGTATATCTATTGGACCCTCAGCATATGAAGCGAGAGCTTTTGCCACCAGGCCACTGGCCAGGCAAAATACTGGATAATTATCTCTTTCATGTACTGTGCATATTATCAACAAATAACCATATTAAATCTCACCCTGCGTGAAATACTTAATGTAATAAGACTTTTGTGTGTGTACCTGGTGGCGGGAATGAATGTTGCTTTATTGAGTTCTTGGTACACAGGCCTTGGTACATAGGCCTACCATGCTCAGCCCGTATGACCCTCTCTCTTCCTTATTAGGCGCTACGAAAACCTTCAGACAATAGCTCAGTCCCACTCCTGTCTTCCGCAGCCGGGACCCAGCAGGTTGGGTCCCAGTACAATTTAAACACTGTGTACCAAGAACTCAATAAAGCAACATCATTCCCGCCACCAGGTACACGCACAAAAGTCTTATTACATTAAGTATTTCACGCGAAGTGAGATTTAATATGGTTATTTGTTGATAATATGCACAGTACATGAAAGAGATAATTATCCAGTATTTTCCTCCAGTATTTTGCCTGGCCCGTGCCCTGGTGGCAAAATCTCTCGCTTCACACGCTGAGGGTCTGGGTCCAATTACCGCCAAGGGTGGAAACATAGGGCGTGTTTCCTTACACTGGTTGTCTATGTTCACTCGTCAGTAAAATGGGTACCTGGGTGTTAGTCGACTGGTGTGGGTCACATCTTAGGACAAAACTGACCTAATTTGCCTGATATGCTCTGCATAACAAGCGGCTTTCTATATAGTAGTATGTCGTTGATGTCAGCTAGGCCTGTATACCTTGTACATGTACTTGTGGTAAAGATATTAACATTCCTTCAGGCTAGATGCTCTCAGCACCATGTATAGTAGAGCCAAATGATACCTCTACAGCTTAGTTGCTAAATCTGTGGTGCACCATATAGGCATGTTAGTTGCTTGATCTCTGGTGCGCCATATAGGCATGTTAGTTTCTCAATCTGTGGTGCACCATATAGGCATGTTAGTTTCTAAATCTGTGGTGCACCATATAGCATGACCTACTTCATCTAGTGGACTCAGTCCGCACGTAACCACGTCTTTGTCCCACTTCTTCCTCTGGCTTGACTATAAACGTCTGCGGTTTCATGTATATATGACGTCTCTCATTAAATATATCCAGGTGTTGTAAATGTGTCCTGTTCATTAATTTGTCGTTATTTGATCTAATTATACATACATTTTTCTTGAAACTAGTTAAAATAATATTAATAATGATATTCTCTCTCGCTGGGTTCATTCTTATGTCTGGTAAAAGAGACGCATCAGTCATTGTATTGTGTTCCATGAAGCACAAAACCCACGTGAGGGAAGCAACACAAAGCGAAGCAGAGGCTCCACCCTCTCAGTCACGCTATAGGTGGTCCCGATCGCTGACCAATCTGATTTAAGCATAATTTCCCTTTACACTCACACTTCGTGGGTAATGCAGCTATGTACAGCCAAGAGGAGCAGCTCAAGGCCCTGCAGGAGAGATTCCCTGACCTGGGTCCAGTATCCATGTCCTTGAAATGTATCGACGACAACCCACTTCTGCTGGCCAACAGGATGTTTCACCACTACCTGGGAGGTGTGAACCTGGACCAGGCCGACCCTGATGATGTCATGAAGGTGAGAATGGTTATTGTTGTTTGGCTTCGTAAAACAATATTTTAAATTTAAAATTTACGTATATTATTATTATATTAATAGGGAAGGCATAAATAATACTATTCCAGTTCTAAACAAAACTAATAAGAGGAATCTATTAAAATTTCCAAACTTAACCCCTACCCGGGAAAAAAAAAAAACTTAAAATTTTGGGTTTTACCCAAAAATATCTGGAAAAAACCCCTAATTTCGCCCTTGGTAAATTTTTTGTCCCCAAAACCCTTGAGTAGAGAGGACGTGTGTGTTGCCCCCCCTGGTGTTGACTGGGTGCTAATTTTTCACAACATGGGGGTTGTCGCCGGGGGTTATACAGTCTGTATTAAAATTAACCAGTGGAGCTATCACGGGGCCGTCTATGGAGTTACTTTACCAGCAAAATTTAGAGCCCCGGCGTAGTACAAAGAGATTTGGGACTTGCTTGAATCACGAAGAGGTTTTTTCTTAAATTAAATTTCGGCGATTAAATTATTTTGAGACGTGGTGAACAAGTTTCAGGAAGTGCCAACCTTAATCATCTGTCACGGTGAGGATGCATGAAGAATGTCCATTGGGGGGGCGGATGCATCTGAATAAGGTTTCCCGGTAAATTGGGACGGACCCGGTCACTGCAGGAAGATGGTCAGTGGTGTTTATGGGGTTTTCCTGAGGGACTTACTCGCAAAGTGACGTACAATCCTATACGTGATGTGGTGAGGAAAGTTTCAAAATCGGTATTTGTGAATATAGGGCAACGATGCACTTTCGTTTGTGTGGGTGTAATGAACACGGGCAGCGCAATGGGTAGGGGACGTGGGACAACGCCTGAAAAACGAAAAAAACGTGAGGTGAGGAGAGTGGAGCAAGAGCAGCTTTTTCGACATACTCCGAAAGGGGTGCTCATGGAGTGAGGTTGAGAGGGAGAGAAATGGCAGGTGCTACGAGGGGGGGGGGGAACCCCCCTTCTTGGGAAAGTGGTTCAGGCTTTGGAGGAGATCATCGCGAAGTGAAAAGATTGAAAGGAGGAAGCATCGATAAGGACAAAGTTGGGGGAATTTTGGGACGGGGCTTATAGGAAAAGGCACGGTCCTGGTCTTGAGACTACATGGAGGACGGGGGCGAAGGTATTCGTCCCTAAGGTGTGTGACAAGGTGCCTTGTGGGTGTCGGGGGGAGGTTGGTTCATCGGGGTGATGAGCTTGATGACGAGTGCTCGGGTACGACCAAAAGGCGCAGCATTTTTTTTGATTCGGAGAAGTGCTTACCCCCGCCAAGTTGGGAAAAAAATGGGCGGATGTCACGAGGGGGGTTCAAAAGACACTCGGGACGGGGATCGAAAAGGGTCCCAAAAAAAAGGGGGGGGGGGGAGGGTTTAAGAGTGCAATGAGGCGATCAGGTGACAAAAAGGGAGGGAAACCTTCTTTGTCGGTTTTAAGTGTTTGACTTTGAACATCAATGGTTTGGGTCGCAGAAAAAAGTGTGAGTGGTTTAGGGATTTTTGGAGCTCTGGTTTTTTGACGTTTGTTCTTGCAGGAGCTAATTATAGACATGGTTGATTTTGAAGGTGGGGGGATAAAAGGGTGTATGTTGAAAATCAGTCAGATTGAAAGGCGGTGTGGCTATTTTGGGTAAAGGAAAACTGCCCTTTGGTTGTAGGCTTGTGGGGGGGGAGGGGGGGGGTTGATCTTGGTGGTTTTTGGGGGTCGGTTCGATGAGTTGGGTGTGTGTATGGCCCCCGCAGAGGGACACGTAGCTTAAGAAAAAATTTGGGGGTTTTGTGGTTTATACTTGGTGGATTGCCGGGGGTAGCCGTGATAGGTGATTGGAATGTGGATAAGGGTAAGGATGTGGAACCGAGGGGGGGGGCATTGTTGGGAATATTGGGAAAATTTGTTTCGGGGGTGGGTTTGATCATATCTGGGGGGGGGGGGAGGTAGAGCATACATTTATTAGGCGGGGGTTTTGTGCTAGGTCAATCTTTGTAGCCCCCAGAAGGGTGAAATACATAGGGGAGGGTTTTTGGATGTGGATTTTCTGTCTAGGGTGTTAGGGTGGATTTGGGTTGGGAGGGGTTGCCACGAAGGGGTAGGGTTTTTGGAAGTTAAATTAAAGTTGTTGATAAAGAAAAATATGACAGTTTTAAAAACAGTTTTGGGAGGGGTTGGAGGCAGAAGGCCTGGGAATGGTGATCGGGTTAGTTGGGGGAGACTCGGTGGCAAAAATCGGTTTTAAGGGAAATTTTTATGTAGTAATGGGGGGGAAATAAAAAGGGTTAAAGTATGGGTTTTCAATTTACTTGGGGGCATTGAGGGGTTTCTACGAAAGTGGGAGGGTTAGTTTCCGGGGGGAGTTTTGAGGGGTTAAAGGAGGCATTGGGATTTCAAAATGAAAGATTTGATGGGGCACCGTTTGGCGGGGGGGGGGAGGTGTTTGGGGTATTTAGGGGAAAGAAAAACAAACAAGGTTTTGGGAAAAATTTGAGGGGGAACCGGTTTTTCCGGGGTTTATGTTATGGGGTGATTTTAATTAATGAAAGGGATGGGGCAATGGGTGAAGCAAAGGGGTGGGGTGTTGTTTTATTTGGCCGGGGGTAGAGAACGGGAGAAGAACCGGAAAATGCTTATGTGGGGGGATTATAAGTTTTTTGGCAAGGGTATTGGGGGAAAGAAAACAAAAGGTTTTAGAAAATTTGGGTACGCGTTTTTGGGGGGTTAGGGGATGGGGTGATAGGATGGGGGATTGAAAGGGACAGGTTAAAGGGGAAAGGGGATGGAGATGGAGGGTTTGCATGTGGGGGGGGGGGTTAGGGGAAGGGCATATTTTTGTGATGAAGGGATAGGGGATTATTGAGATTTGTTTAGGGAATGAAAAAATGGGGATGGGTAGAGCAAGGGGTGGGGTGGTTTTTTTGGCAAGGAGCTTAGGTAAGATAGAAAGCTTTTGGAAGGAAGATTACGGAAGGGAAATTTCAAAATTAAGGGGGAATTTAGGAAGGCCACCGGGGTAGACAGTTGCTAAATTTTATTTTTAAAAATGGGGGGGAGGGGGAAAATTTTTTCGATTGAATGTAATGAAAGGAAGAGGGGCAATGGGGTAAGCAAAGGGGTTTGTTGTTTTTGGGAAGGGGGAAAAAAGACCCGGTGGTTATGCAATAGGTTATGGCGTGATATAAGTTATTTGCAAGGGTTTGGGCCAAAATTTTGGGGATTTAAAGGACTATGGCATAGGTAGATCGAGAAGGGGGGAGTTTTGGTTTTAAGAGAAGGGGGGGGGGGGGCCGGTTTAAGTGTTTTACGTGGGGGTGAAAGGGGACTTGGTTTGGTTTGGGGGGAAATTTTTTTTTTGAGGGAATTTACATTTAAAGGGTAGGGAAGGGTGGGGGGGTTAAGGGGGGCCCCCTTTTTGGTGAGGCCCTTTTTGGGGGGAATGGGGGGGGTTTTTAAAAAAATAATGGGTAGGGGGAAAGTCCAAAGGGTTTTTTGGGGGGTCTTTTGGTGGGTTTTGGGGAAAAAATGGGAAATTTTTCATACATATTGGGAGACTGTTGGGGGGGGGGTGTGGTGATCAATTGTTGTATGTGGGTAGTGACATGCGGGAAAGTAGGGATGACAAGAGGCAAATCGAGGCGCACCGTGGATGGGTTTTTTTTAAAAAATTGGGGGTTTGAGGGGAGCATTAATGTTGCCAAAGGGTTTTGCCCAAAAAGTCCCCTTGTAAGCAAGTTTGGATGGGGGGCAATATCCCTTGACGGGTGAGGGGCAACGGTTGCAACTGCGGTATAATTTGATTTTGGGGTCGGGTTGTGATGGTAAGTAGAGGGTGGTTGTCGTTCCCCTTAAACCGGGGGGGGCTGGGGCTTTTAACCCCTTGAGAAACGTTGTTTATGTGTTTTGAAAAGGGGTTTTTGAGGGGGGGGGGGGGGGGCCTTTTAAAGAGCGCATGGATATGCAACGGGGGTGGGGGGTAGGGGTTTAATTTTGGGGGGCTATGTTGCAGTTTTATGAAAGGAAGGGATCTGAAACGCTTTTAAAGAAGGTTCTTTTAGGGGGGGGGGGGGTGGGGCTGTGGTGGCGGCAGTTGAGGGGGGGAACCCCTTTTTTGCTGGGTTCTTAGGATTGTCTTCAAAACTAAGTTAAAAGCAAGTGTGGGGGGTATTTTTGGTTTTTACATGGTCTTGCCGTCTGGGGGGGTGTTATTTAATGGAGATTAAGGGAGGGTGGGGATGCCAAAGGTGGGATTCCGGAAACTATTTCCTCTGTGTACTTTTGTATTGTTTGAAATGTGGGGTATGGTTAAAAAAAAAGGGAGTTAGGTTAGTGGGTGGGGAAGGGGTTACGGTGTTGGGGGGTTAAGTTTAGATATAGGGGGGTGATTTAGCAGGGGGTGAAAGCGGTTGGTATGTGGTTACTGGGTTTTATTTATATATCTTTTGGGGAATAGGATGGGAGTCGAGGAAAGGTAAAAGGGGTTAGGGGCCCCGATGTATAGAAAAAGTGCCCCAAAAGGGACTTTATGGGGGGGAAAATGGGAACAGCATTTTCTGAAAGGTTTTCGTGATTCAGGTGAAGGATTTAAAAGATTTAAGTGTAAATAAGGGGTTGGCGGGGGCTTGTTTTTTTTGAGTATGGAAATTGATAGATGTTAGCGTGTGTGGTATGTTTTGGGATTTAAAAAAGTTCTTTGTGATGTGAGTTTGGGTTGGGTAGTTGTGTAAAATATGGTATTCAATTTTTTTCAGAAGGTATTTAAATTTAAAAATGCAAGTATGTTTTGCACTACATTTTTGTGTGTAAAGTGTGAGAGGGTAATCTCAAGTATTTTTGTTTTTGAAGGTTTCATGAAAAGGCATATCTAAATTAAAACTGGGTTTTCTTTTTTCCTCAAAGGTTTAACAGAGATAGTACTGTGGTGTAAGTGAGGTAGGTTTATAGGTATTCAAAACATGTTGTTGTATGTTCCCTTTTCGTCTTTGTTTTTTGTATTTCAATGTACTTTGTATAGCATTTACAACGGTATTGTTCTTTGCCATATGAAGTGTTTTTTTAGTTCATGTTATGTTCTAGGTTTTTGTATGTTAAGATGTACTTATAGACTGTCAGCACCCTGATATTGGTTTTTCATGGCTATGTTCTTGACGTAAGTTTTGGCTGTATGGTATACAGATATATCTAGCCAGTTTATAGACGCATTCCTTTTGTGTCTGAGATTTTTGTATACGGGTTTATTGTAACTGTAATGAGTCGGTTTTGAGATCTAAGCTGTTTTCTTTGTATGTTTATTTGTATTTTGGTATATGTAAAGCTGTAATGTTTGGGATAAGTATGTATATGTTCTAGTAGGATTATGATGTTAGGTTTTGGTTTATTGATTAATGAGAAGGCTGGAAGTAATTGTTACATTTTCTCGTATATATTCTTTTCAATTGTAATGAACCTTTGTCATATGTCATGTTATATGTAAAATTTATATGTAAGTTAGGTTTTGAGTCATTGAATGTTTATATATGTCAGTTCATGACCCTGTTACTGTGTTTATTTGTAGCTATGTTCTTGCCGTAAATTATAGTTGTATGTTATACAGCTATATCTTGCGAGTATATAGGTGCAATCCATTTGTTAGTTTATTTTGTGTTGGGTTAACTTATGTCAATGGCCGAACCTTCAGGATTGAGATCCATACTGTTTCCTTTTATTTTTATTTTTATGTATACTGTATTGGTTATAAATGAAATATAAAAAAAAAAAAATTTCGTCCTTGGGTACGTAATAACTTCAGTTGCTAATACACTGAGTGCAGATCACACTGACACTCATTCACTCTGGTTGGTTAACGAGGCTTAAAACCAGTCAACTACAAGAGGGCCAATAATGCTGTATGTCACCTGTTCACCACCAGTCAAGAATACTTTCATACCTGAGTGTATGCACTGAGCTTAGGTGAGTTTTCTAAGTTAGGTCCAAAAATAAAACATTTTGTATCTTTGTCAATGAAAAAATTCGAACCTAAGAACAAGTGAAAATATGCCACACTACCTTTATTTATTCTGGATTAACTCTCCAAATTGATAGTCTATAATTTTTTTTTCGCTATAACGCAAAATTTAAATATGTTTACTTACATAGGGGGTAGGCTGCTACTGCCGGCCGCACTCAATCCAACGTACGAGCCACAACTCGGCTGGTTGGGTACTGACTTCAGGTATCTGTGCAGTTTCCTTCTGAATACAGCTAGGGAGTTGAACAGTCTTGCGCCCCTGACACTTATTTTGTTCTCTCTCAATGTACCTACGACACCTCTGCTTTTCATTTGGGGTATGTCACACTGCCTGCCGCATCTTGTGTTTTTGTAGGGAGTGATTTTTTTGTATAGATTTGGACTTGTCCATCGGGTTTACCAGCTGTTCATCATGATGTTTCTCAAGGAGTTACAGGTCAACAGTCTTCAAACAGTATGGTAATTGAGGTGTTTTGACTGTACCTATCCCGTGCAGTTAAAGTTTTATCTTTTACGAGTCATCAAGTACGACCAGGTTGGGTTCACAAACGGTCGAAAGTTGAATTGCAAAGTAAGTTGATAGCGTATTATAATTACTTAATTTTATATCTCTTTTTTTTCTTTAGTTTTTTTTTTATCTTGGAAAAAAACAAAATGTTTAATTCAAAACACATCATGTACGATTACACGCGTTTTTTTTGAAAATTACAGTTAAAAATAAGATCAAATGGAATAAAATTCAGAATAAATATTGTACGGCCTCATTTGTGGTGCCAGGCGTACAAATATTTATGGTTGAAAGTACAGATAGGTTATAAGTCGATGACTGGCTGCAGTTTCACCTGCTTTAAAGGGGCCATTAGTGTACAGCAGTATTTCATCCTAGAGAGAACAAGTGACTTAAAGAGGATTATCATTGGCTTGGCATCCCATGTTTTGAAGGTTCTTGTCCATTTTAACATTTTCCTAGCAGATGTCATGATAACTTTCTAGATGTGATAATATTGTTGTGGTCTTTGAAAGTGAGATCCTCTGACATTATTACTCCTAAGTCCTTCACATTAGTTTTCCACTGTATTATCTGGTCAAATGTATATACTGTAGTACTTAATATTAATATTTATAATAGTAAATTAACCATTTCTGTCCATTTTACAACAGTTGTTTACTGACCGACACTTTGGGGTTTGTCACGACCTGACCGCCATACTTCACTCTCGAAACTCTGTTGATCCTCTAGCACACACCTCCAGCCACCAGCCCAGAACATATACTTACGAACTTCAGTACAGAGGAGAGCACTCCCTTGGAGACTTGTATAACATGACCGTCGGAAGACACTGTAAGTTTTGGCTGCTCTTGTATACTCCAGTTTAGCTTGGGTTTATTAATAGTATTATATTTACAAGGAAACGCTAAACCTTTAGTGGAATGGGGAACTGAGATCCCCCTATCTCTTTCTAGATCCAAGATCCTCAACTTTCCATTAGTGAGGATGGGGAGAGAGTAGAAGGGGTGCAGAGAGAGAGAGGGGGGGGGGAGTTATCAGTCTCCTGGGCTGCAGACGGAGTTTGAGATAACTTTCTCCACAGGAAGGACTGGACATAATTAGGCTTGAGCCACGAAAGGGAAGGACGTCTTCAATTCCTGGGAGAAAGAGCCCTTCCACCATTAAGTCTTTTTCTTATGGATAGCTTCATTATTAATCCAGTCTAAAGCTTCCAATTTACACTTTTTTACTAAATCATCACTTCACTCACATGCCATATATTATTCATCTCTGAACTTTTTTATTATAAAACTGAATTACTGTTTCATAAATTACTTTACTAAGACTCTACAAGAGTTAAAGTACTACCTGTAAAGTATTAAATTAAAACCTACTAAGAACCTTTATTTCTTCATAGAGATTCAGCAAGCTTTAACTCCTCTCCCCCGCTTTACAGCCCTTCATGTTTTGCTAATGCAGCGGTTTTCAATTATACCCGATATTCATTTATTCAGACTTCCTACATTAAATATATTCACCACTCACTATCAGCTAAAGATGAAAATATTTTAAGTAATGTGTGTACTGTATATGCATTTTATAGATCTAGCTCTATTGTTCACTTAATATATAATAATGTAAACATGTTATCTGGCTTTTATATGCATTTGAAAGTGAAAAAAAAAAAAACGTTTCACTTTACAGCAGTAGCTCAGAACCTAACCTGCTGTATAAACGAAGCCCGCTTATACCTTGAACTTGAATGATTCGCCGTACATGTCCCGGCCCAGGTCTTCCAGATGGTGACCCGGCGGGCCCGTACCTGCATCGACTGTGTGTGTGTTATATAATATTATATATATATATATATATATATATATATATATATATTAACAAGTCGGCCGTCTCCCACCGAGGCAGGGTGACCCAAAAAAGAAAGAAAATCCCCAAAAAGAAAATACTTTCGTCATTCAACGCTTTCACCTCGCTCACACATAATCACTGTTTTTGCAGAGGTGCTCAGAACACAACAGTTTAGAAGGATATATGTATAAAGATACACAACATATCCCTCCAAACTGCTAATATCCCAAACCCCTCCTTTAAAGTGCAGGCATTGTACTTCCCATTTCCAGGACTCAAGTCCGGCTATATAAAAATAACAGATTTCCCAGAATCCCTTCACTAAATATTACCCTGCTCACACTCCAACAGATCGTCAGGTCCCAAATACCATTCGTCTCCATTCACTCCTATCGAACACGCTTGTGCACACCTGCTGGAAGCCCAAGCCCCTCGCCCACAAAACCTCCCTTACCCCTTCCCTCCAACCTTTTCTAGGACGACTCATACCCCGCCTTCCTTTCCCTACAGATTTATACGCTCTCTATGTCATACTACTTTGATCCATTCTCTCTAAATGACCAAACCACCTCAACAACCCCTCTTCAGCCCGCTGACTAATACTTTTATTAACTCCACACCTTTTCCTAATTTCCACACTCCGAATTTTCTGCATAATATTTACACCACACATTACCCTTAGACAGGGCATCTCCACTGCCTCCAACCACCTCCTTGCTGCTGCATTCACAACCCAAGCTTCACACCCATATAAGAGTGTTGGTACTACTATACTTTCATACATTCCCTTCTTTGCCTCCATAGATAACGTTTTTTGTCTCCACATATACCTCAATGCACCACTCGCCATTTTTCCCTCGTCAATTCTACGATTAACCTCGTCCTTCATAAATCCATCCGCCGATACGTCAACTCCCAAGTATCTGAAAACATTCATTTCTTCCATACTCCTCCTCCCCAATTTGATATCCATTGTTTCTTACCTAAGTCATTTGATACCCTCATCACCTTACTCTTTTCTATGTTCACTTTCAGATTTCTACCTTTACATACACTCCCAAACTCATCCACTAACCTTTGCAATTTTTCTTTAGAATCTCCCATGAGCACAGTATCATCATCAAACAGCAACTGTGTCAATTCCCATTTTGTATTTGATTCCCCATAATTTAATCCCACCCCTCTCCCGAACACCCTAGCATTTACTTCTTTTACAACCCCATCTATAAATATATTAAACAACCATGGTGACATTACACATCCCTGTCTAAGACCTACTTTTACCGGGAAGTAGTCTCTCTGTCTTCTACACACCCTAACCTGAGCCTCACTATCCTCATAAAAACTCTTTACAGCATTTAGTAACTTACCACCTATTCCATTTTACTTGCAACATCTGCCACATTGCTCCTCTATCCACTCTATCATATGCCTTTTCTAAATCCATAAATGCAATAAAAACTTCCCTACCTTTATCTAAATACTGTTCACATATATGCTTCATTGTAAACACTTGATCTACACATCCCCTACCCACTCTGAAACCTCCTTGCTCATCCTCAATCCTACATTCTGTCTTACCTCTAATTCTTTCACTTATAACCCTACTGTACACTTTTCCTGGTATACTCAGTAAACTTATTCCTCTATAGTTTTTAAAATCTCTTTTGTCCCCCTTCCCTTTATATAAAGGGACTATACATGCTCTCTGCCAATCCCTAGGTACCTTCCCCTCTTTCATACATTTATTAAACAAAAATACCACCCACTCCAACACTATATACCCCCCTGCTTTTAATATTTCTGTCATGATCCCATCAGTTCCAGCTGCTTTACCACCTTTCATTCTACATAATTCCTCACACACCTCCCCCACACTCGCATCCTGTTCTTCTTCACTCCTAAAAAACGGTATACCTCCCTGGCCAGTGCATGAAATTACCGCTTCCCTTTCTTCGTCGACATTTAAAAGTTTCTCAAAATATTCTCGCCATCTACCCAAAACCTCCATCTCCCCATCTACTAACTCCCCTACTCTGTTTTTAACTGACAAATCCATTCGTTCTCTAGGCGTTCTTAACTTGTTTAACTCACTCCAAAAAATTTCTATTTTCATTAAAATTTCTTGACAGTGCCTCTCCCACTCTATCTGCTCTCCTTTTGCACTCTCTCACCACTCTCTTCATCTTTCTTTTACTCTCCATATACTCTACTCTTCTTATAACACTTCTGCTTTGTAAAAACCTCTCATAAGCTACCTTTTTCTCTTTTATCACACCCTTTACTTCATCATTCCACCAATCACTCCTCTTTCCTCCTGCACCCACCCTCCTATAACCACAAACATTTTCATTTACCTCTGGCACCCCAAATTTACCTACTACTCCCTCCACAACATTTTTACCTACTTTAGCATTGAAATCCTCAACCACCATTACTCTCACACTTGGTTTAAAACTCCCCACGCATTCACTCAACATTTCCCAAAATCTCGCTCTCTCCTCTACACTTCTCTCTTCTCCAGGTGCATATACGCTTACTATAACCCACTTTTCACATCCAATCTTTATTTTACTCCACATGATCCTTGAATTAATACATTTATAGCCCCTCTTTTCCTGCCATAACTTATCCTTCAACATTATTGCTACTCCTTTAGCTCTAACTCTATTTGAAACCCCTGACCTAATCAAATTTATTCCTCTTCACTGAATTCTCCCACCCCCTTCAGCTTTGTTTCACTTTAAAGCCTGGACTCGAGCTTCTTCTCATTTCATAACATCCACATTCATCTCTTATCTATTTTGCACAAACATCCAATGCACATTCAGATACCACTTTGACATAGTGTCTTCTTATTCTTTTTTAGTAATTATTACAGGAAAAGGGGTTACTAGCCCTTTGTTCCTGGCATTTTTAGTTGACTTTTACAACACGCATAGCTTACTGAGGAACAGATTCTTATTCCACTTCCCCAGGGTATAAAAGGAAATGTAATAAGACCAAGAACTATTAAGATAAAATAAAGAAAACTTGATGAAGTGTGTATAAATAACATGTACTTGTATGTGTAGTGTGACCTAAGTGTAAGTAGAAGTAGCAAGGACGTACCTGTAATCTTGCATATTTATGAGACAGACAAAAAGGTCACCAGCAAGCCTACCATCATGTAAAAACAATTAAGGCTTTTGTTTTACACTCAATTGGCAGGACGGTGTACCCCCTGGGTGGTTGCTGGTTTATAACCTTACACATTTTATATATAATTATATATATAATATATATATTTTTTTTTCCAACTAGATTGGTGTCTCCCTCCCGAGGCAGGGTGACCAAATAAGAAAGAAAATCCCAAAAGATTAATATTTCATCATTCAACACTTTCACCACTACTCACACATTATCACTGCCTTTGCAGAGGTGCTCAGAATACAACAGTTTTTTAGATGATGTACACATAATAAAGATACTCAACATATCCCTCCAAACTGCCATATCCCAAACCCTTCCTTTTTAAAGTGCAGGCATTTTTTTTTGTACTTCCATTTCCTAGGACTCAAGGTACGACTATAAAGAAAATAACCGGTTTCACTGAAATCCCTTTCACTAAATATGACCCTGCTACACTACAAACAGATCGTCAGGTCCCAAGTACCATTCGTCTCTTCACATTCACTCCTTCCTAACTCGCTCACGCATGGCTTGCTTGGAAGTCCAAGCCCTTGCCCACAAAACCTCTTTTTACCCCCTCTCTCCAACCCTTTCGAGGACGCCCCCTACCCCGCCTTCCCTTTCCCTATAGATTTATATGCTTTCTTTTGTTCATTCTACTTTGATCCATTCTCTCTAAATGACCAAACCACCTCAACAACCCTCTTCTGCCCTCTGACTAATACTTTTATTAACTCCACACCTTTTCCTAATTTCCACACTCCAAAATTTTCTGCATATATTTACTCCACACATTCCCCTTTAAAAACAGGACATCTCCACTGCCTCCAACCGTCTCCTCCCCTGCTGCTTACCACCCAAGCTTCCACCCATATAAGAGGGTTGGTACTGTATACTTTCATACATTCCCTTCTTTGCCTCCATAGATAACGTTTTTTGACTCCACATATACCTCAATGCACCACTCATTTTTTCCCCACCAATTCTATGATTAACCTCATCCTTCATGAATCCATCCGCCGACACGTCAACCCCCAAGTATCTAAAAAACATTCACTTTTCCATACCCCTCCTCCCCAATTTGATATCCAATTTTTCTTTATCTAAATCATTTGTTTCCCTCATCACCTTACTCTTTTTCTTGTTCACTTTCAAATTTCTACCTTTACACACATTCCCAAACTCATCCATAACCTTTGCAATTTTTCTTTAGAATCTCCATAAGCACAGTATCATCAGCAAAAAGTAACTGTGTCAAATTCCCATTTTTAAATTTTATTCCCCAAAATTTGATCCCCCCCTCTCCCGAACACCCTAAGCTTTATTTCCTTTACAAACCCCCTCTATAAATATATTAAACAACCATGGTGACATTAAAACATCCCTGTCTAAGCCTTTCTTTTACGGGAAGTAGTCTCCCCCTCTTCGACACACCCTAACCTGAGCCTCACTATCCTCATAAAAACTCTTTACAGCATTTAATAACTTACCACCCATTCCATATTTCTTGCATATTTTGCAGTTACAAGCACTAAAAACACTGGAATAATACAAAATGTACCAAATTGTATGGGTGGATGTGACCGGACTGGCTTGTAAACACTGGTTTCACTAAAGAAGGCAGGGCAGCTAAGGCCGCTCAGGCCAGACGGGACGCGTTTGGGACGAATCATGTTGGTCGAGTTTTTCATCATTGGTCAGGCCAAAATTTTTATGCTCAAACGCTTCATTAGTCTAATTTATCGTTAGACGATGCCTTATTGACTACCCGGGCAATAGGTTGTTGCTGCAAGCAACCCAAAGGCTGATATGGCTATGACAGCCTGGCTGTTCTTCAACATGTTCTAGGTTGAGAATGTTATTATTCTACTATCCAAATTGTAGTGCATACCTAAAAAATATCCTCTACATTCGTTCACTCCATACTTTCACCTCTCTTTTAGTTTGTCCATCCCTCAGTCCTTCCCCTTGTCGCCCAGCTGCACACCAATGGCAAAGAGAGCTAAGTGCCTTATCACTAACACCCCCTACCATCGGTCTGGAGTAGTATGACTCTCTGATCGCGGGTTCTATCCCCACCCAGCTCCGTGGTATTTGTTTTACCACCTCTTACCTTGAGTCGAGAACGCAGTCTGATTTTACCCCGAATAAGTAAAGAAATTCTTTTCTCTGTCCATCACTCCTTGCATTTCTTGCTTTTGACAGGGGTGACCCATGCAGACGACTTAGCCTACCTCTTCAACTTGAGAGGGTTTCAGCTCACTCGCGCTCCTGACCTTGCCCTCAGAGATCTCTTCACTAAACTTTGGACCAACTTCGCCGATACTGGGTACAGTGTTTCTCTCTCTCTCTCTCTCTCTCTCTCTCTCTCTCTCTCTCTCTCTCTCTCTCTCTCTCTCTCTCTACCCACAGTTTACAAGGTTAGGTTAAGAGTTTCTAACTTTATTTACAAGCTAAGAGCTGTTACCCACATCAGCTCTCTCTTCTTTTTGATAATTTTTTTTTTTACATTTATAAAATTTATTTACATTGTTATTGTAATAAAGTTGGTAGAATTACCGACAATATGTAAAGTAAAAGGACACAAGTGCAACTAATGTGACATTTATTGTGGCAACGTTTCGCTCTCCAGGAGCTTTATCAAGCCATTACAAACAATACATGGACACAGAGGGTATATAAAGGCTCAGAGTGAGGTGAATATAGTGAGGTACATTCCGATGTTCACTAGTGGTAGTAGTGGTAGTGACAAAAGCAATTAATTCGTACATGAGTAAAAGGATATAAAAGCTATTACTTGGGTAACATAAAAATAGGTTGGACAAATATAAACTGGAATGAGGCAGGTTGTTTCAGTGTTCACTCTCTGTGCTTTGTGTAGTATAACAGGAGAGACTATGTGATGGCAGGGTTTACTGTTTTCAGGAGGATTCTTGCTAAGACTTCGGAGATGGTGAAGCTGCCGTTGTTTTGTTTAATTGTATTCGAAACAGCGATCAGTGCTGATTCAAGGCATTTGCGTGTGCGGAAATTAGTTTCTTTTATCACTAATTGGGCGTCTCTGAATTTCATAAGATGATTGGTGGAATTTCGGTGTTGTACACAACGCCTGTGTACAACACCGAAATTCCACCAATCATCTTATGAAATTCAGAGACGCCCAATTAGTGATAAAAGAAACTAATTTCCGCACACGCAAATGCCTGAATCAGCACTGATCGCTGTTTCGAATACAATTAAACAAAACAACGGCAGCTTCACCATCTCCGAATAGTCTTAGCAAGAATCCTCCTGAAAACAGTAAACCCTGCCATCACATAGTCTCTCCTGTTATACTACACAAAGCACAGAGAGTGAACACTGAAACAACCTGCCTCATTCCAGTTTATATTTGTCCAACCTATTTTTATGTTACCCAAGTAATAGCTTTTTATATCCTTTTACTCATGTACGAATTAATTGCTTTTGTCACTACCACTACTACCACTAGTGAACATCGGAATGGTACCTCACTAGTATTCACCTCACTCTGAGCCTTTATATACCCTCTGTGTCCATGTATTGTTTGTAATGGCTTGATAAAGCTCCTGGAGAGCGAAACGTTGCCACAATAAATGTCACATTAGTTGCACTTGTGTCCTTTTACTTTATACATTGTTATTGCTATAAAGCACTGTATACTCCTACTGCTATTACTACTAATATTACTATTTAAACTTGAATGAATATTTCGTTCTGGGTTCAGGAACCCAACGCCAGACTCATCTTTGGGTTTCATCTGGGAAACTACACAGAAGCTCACCTGCAGCATCTGGTCCTGTCTCCTTCACCTTTCATGCAGAACGACACCAGACGTCAGGTGAGTGTTGCAAGGCCTTAAGTCGGCCTTTCGTGTTTCAGTACTCACTGTGTACATTTTCCTGCTTAAAGGGGACCCATGCGCAGTACAGTCAGATCAACCAGGCTGTGATGGATGTGTGGGGCAGAGGGCCACCAGCAGCAACAGAGCCTGGTTGCCTAGGCAAGCACCAGACGAGCCTGGCCCATGGCCGGGCTCTGGGAGTAGAAAAACTGGGAAACTCATCAAACGTATAGTGAAGATATGATGCAATTGGCTGTATAGTTTTTACGTACGGTTTGCAGGAAATTTCTTGAATTAACGGTGATTAGGTTAGGTTAGATTGTTCTGTCAGTAAAGTTTAACCAGCTTTACCATACCACAACGCAACAAAAATTAAAAAAAATACAATACTGTAAGATAATGACGATAAAAGACTAATGCACGAACAGAAAACGGGGATCTCCTGAGCGCATTAGAAAATAATTAATAATATTCTTTATTTCTAAAGTACATCTAAGTTAGATGAAACGCTGTTTAATAGTAAATCTAATAAAACTACTAGTAATCTTATTTCTACAAGTACATGTACAAGGTATACACACCATAGCTGACATCAATGACTAAGTAAGTTTATTCAGGTATACACAAATACAGTTACATAGAATTATCATACATAGCAGCATGTGTGTAAAGTACCTCGGATAACCCAAAAAAGTCAGACAGAGTGACTTACTTCCATTGGGGTCCTTTAACATACTATTAATATAGAAAGCATTTCGGGCAAATTAGGTCAATTTTGTCCTAGGATGTGACCTACTCCAGTCAACTAACACCCAGGTACCTATTTTTTACTGATGGGTGAACATGGACAGCAAGTGTCTTAAGGAAACTCGTCCTAATGTTTCCAGACGGACGGGGAATCGACCCCCGGACCTCATTGTGAGCTGAGTGCGCTACCAGTCGAGCATAAGGTTCGTTAAAAAGTCTGTCCTTTGACTATTTCAGCAACAGCGGCAGCGGCAGCAGCGACTTCCAAGCTCCGTACTTTTCTCCAACTACCAGAGCTACCAATGCTCCTATGATGACTAGCTACAAAACAAACTGCACTACCCAACGTAGCACCCAGAATAACCAAGATTACCAACAGTGAAACCTACAAATCGAAAATAATAGAGATCAAAGGAAGACCGACACAAACCGAAAGCCAAAATCCCCCCTGTTTTTACCTCCCGGGCCCCAGTGCTTAAAAATTTCCCGGCTTCCTTTCTTCGTCGATCTTTTTAAATTTTTTCTCAAAATATTCTCGCCATCTTCCCAAATCCCTTCTCCCCTTCTTTTTAACTCCCCTACTTTGTTTTTAAATGAAAATCCATTCGTTCTCTGGCGTTCTTAACTTTTTTAAACTCACTAAAAAAAATTTTTTTTATTAAATTTTTGCGTCCCTCTCCCCCCTCTATCGGGCTTCCTTTTGCACTCTTCCCATTCCTTCTTTTTTCCTTTTAAATTTTTTCCATATATTTCTTTCAAAACACTTCTGTTTTGAAAAAAAACCTTCAAAAGCTCCTTTTTTCTTTTAAAAACCCTTTACTTCATCATTCCCCAATCACCCCCTTTTTTTCCCCCTGCCCAAACCCCCCTAAAACCCACAAACATTTTCATTTCCCCGGGCCCACCCCAAATTTTTTCCCTTACTACTCCTCCAAAAACTTTTTTCCCCAAATTTAGATTGAAAATCCTCAACCACCATTACTCTAAACCTTTGGTTTTAAAAAACCCCCACGAATTCACTCAACTTTTCCCCAAAATCCGCTCTCCCCTCTAACTTTTTCTCTTCTCCAGGTGCATATACGCTTATTTTAAAAACCCCTTTTCACACCCAATCTTTATTTTACCCAAAATGTTTCCTTGATTTAATAATTTTTTACCCCCTTTTTTCCTGCCATAATTATCCTTCAACTTTTGCTACCCCCTTTAGCTTAACTTATTTAAAAAACCCCTGACCTAATCAAATTTATTCCCTTCACTAAAAAACTCTCCCACCCCCTTCCCTTTTTTTCACTTAAAGAAGGACATCGAGTTTCCCTTCTTTTCTAAAATCCAAAATTTCATCTTTATTTTGCAAAACCCCATGCACATTCAGACTTCCCACTTTGGACCATTTTTTTTTTATTTTTTTTGAAATTATTACAGGAAAAGGGGTACTACCCCTTTTTTTTGGGCATTTTATTTTTGACTTTTACCCCGCATAGTTTTACTGGGGGAAAGATTCTTTTCCATTTCCCCAAATGGGAAAAAAGGGAAAAAGTAATAAGCCCCAAGAACTATTAAGAAAAAAAATAAAAGGAAAACTCTGGAGAGTGTTAAAAAAAAATTTTTCATGTTTGTTTTAAGTGGGGCCCTAAGTGAAATTTGAAGTAGCAAGACTTTCCGTAATTTTTGCATATTTATGAGACGGGAAAAAAGCCACCAGAAACCCTTTCCATCAGGGGTAAAAAAAATTAAGGCTTTTTTTTTTACACTCCTTGGCAGGAGGGTTGGGCCCCCCCTGGGGGGTTTTGTTTTTTAAATTACTACATATATATATTTTCTAAAATTTTATTTTATATAATATTTTTTTTCCAAAAAGGTTGGCCCGTTTTCCCACCGGGGCCGGGGGGCCCAAAAAGAAAGGGAAAATTTCCCCAAAAAAAAAATATTTTCATCATTAAACACTTTCACCCCCACCACACATTTTCACGGGCCTTTGCAGAGGTGCCCCAAAAAATAAAAACAGTTTAGAAGAAAAACTTTTAAAGATCCCCACAACTATCCCCCCAAAAACTGCCATACCCCAAAAACCCCCCCTTTTAAAAGGGGAAGGGCATTGTATTTCCCATTTCAGGACTAAAAGTGGGACTTTAAGAAAAAACCGGGTTTTTTCCCGGAACCCCCTTCACAAAATTATTCCCTTTCCCCAAAACTACCCCGATCGTCGGGGCCCAAAAGTCCCTTTCGTCTCCATTACTCCTACCAAACCCACGCTCACGGTTGCGGAAGTAAAAACCCCCTTCCCCACAAAACCTTTTTTTCCCCCCTCTCCCCAACCCCTTTCGGGGGACGCCCTTTACCCCCCTTTTCCTTTCCCAATGATTTATTGCTTTTATGTCATTTACTTTGACCCAATTCTCTTAAATAAACCAAAAAACCCCCTCAAAAAACCCCTCTTCTGCCTTGATAATACTTTTTTTAACTCCACCCTTTTTCCCTAATTTCCACACTCCAAATTTTTTGCTAATTTTTTACACCCACATTCCCCTTAAACAGGCTTCTCCATTTGCCTAAACCGTCTCCTCGCTGTTGAAATTTACCACAAGCTTCACCCCCATATAAAAAGGGGTTGGTTTTGCTATATTTTCCCATACTTTCCCTTTTTTTGCCCCCCCTAGAAAAAACTTTTTTTGACCCCCACATATACCTAAATGCACCATTTCCCCTTTTTTCCCTCACCAATTCTAGTTTAAACCCTCACCCTTCATGAATCCTTTCCCCCCGACAGGGTTCAACCCCCAAGTATCTAAAAACCCTTTTTAAACTTTTTCCCAAATACTCCCCCTTCCCCAATTTAAATATCATTTTTTTTTATTAAATCTTTTGGAAAACCCTAACCCCCCTTCCCTTTTTCTTTGTTCCCTTTCAACTTTCCCCTTTACACACTTTCCCCAAAACTCATCCACAAACCCTTTTTTGGAAATTTTTTTTTTAGAATTCCCATAAGCACAGTATCATCAGCAAAAAAAAACTGGGTAAAATTCCCATTTTGAATTTGTTTCCCCAAAATTTGATCCCACCCCTCCCCAAAACCCTAGCATTATTTCCTTTACAACCCCCATTAAAAATATATTAAACAACCTGGGGGAAAATTTAACACATCCTGTTTTAAGCCTTCTTTTCCCGGGGAAGTGTCTCCCTCTTTTGGGAACACCCAACCTGACCCTTTCACTATCCTCAAAAAAAACCCTCTTACAGCATTTAAAAACTTAATTTTCCTATATTTGGAAATTTTTTGCAGTTACAAGCACTAAAAACCGGGAAATAATACAAAATGTCCCCAAAATGTATGATTGGATTGACCGGTTGGCTTGTAAAACTGGTAAAATAATTTGAAGGGGGGGGGGCAGTAAGGCGCGCTCAGGCCAGACGGGACGCGTTTGGGAGGGAATTTCATGTTGGTCGGGTTTTTCATCTTGGTCAGGAAAAATTTTTTGTCAAAGCTTCATTAGTCTAATTTTATCGTTAGCGTTTGCCTTATTGATCCCCGGGCAAAGGTTGTTGCTGAAACCCCCAAAGGTATATGGCTATAAACAGCCGGTGTTCTTCAAAAATTGTTCAAAGGTGGGGGAGAATGTTATTATTTCTACTACCCAAATTGTAGTGCATACTAAAAAATACCCTCTAATTTGTTCACCCCATATTTTTCACCTCTCTTTTTAGTTTGTCCATCCCTCGGGCCCTTTCCCCCCTTGTCCCCCAAGCTGCCCACACCAATGGAAAAGGAGAGCTAAGTCCCTTACCCTTTTAACCCCCTCCCATGGGGTTTGGATTTATTTTGGGACTCTCTATCGCCGGGTTCTATCCCCCCCCAGCCCCTTTGGTTTTGTTTTCCCCCCAACCCTTTCCCCCCTTGGGGCGGGGAAACGCAGTTGTTTTTAAACCCGAATAAGTAAAGAAATTTTTTTCTCTTAAATTCACTCCTTGCTTTTTTTTGTTTTTTGACGGGGGGTGACCCTTTGCAAAACAAACTTAGCCAAACCTCTTAAAACTTGAGAGGGTTTCGCCACTCGCGCCCTGACCTTGTCAGAGATCTCTTCACTAAACTTTGGACCAACTTCCCCGATATGGGTACAGTGTTTCTCTCTTTTCTTTCCTCTCTCTCCCCTTCTCTCTCCCCTCTCTTCTCTCTCTCCCCTTCTCTCTTTTCCCACATTTAAAAGGGTTAGGTTAAGTTTTTAAAACTTTATTTACAAGCTAAGAGTTTTACCCACTCAGCTCTCTCTCTTTTTTGAAAATTTTTTTTTTTTTTACATTTAAAAAATTTTATTTTACTTTGTTTTTTGTAAAAAAGGGTTGGGTTGGGAATTCCCAAACAATAGGGAAAGAAAAAAGGACACAATTTGCAAAAAATGTGCATTTTTTTGTGGCAACGTTTCGTTTCCCCAGGGCTTTATCAAGCCTTTTACAAACAATCCCTGGAACAGAGGGTATATAAAGGTCAGGGGGAGGTGAAAAATATTTGAGGTCCCCCATTCCGATGTTCATTGTGGTGGGTAGTGGTAGTGAAAAAAAGAAATTAAATTTCGTACATGAGTAAAAGGAAAAAAAAAGCTTTATTTGGGGTTTTAACTAAAAATAGGTTGGACAAAAAAAACTGGAATGGGGCGGTTTTTTCCCAGTGTTCACTCTCTTTTGTTTTGGTGTAGTTAACAGGGGAGACTATGTGATGGGGG